ATTAGTCACAAAATTCTTCAATCTGTTTCTATTATTTATTTTTTATATTTTTACTACTTATAAGGTCCCTAATCAAGGCTTGGTTAGGTTTCGAAGAAAAGAAATCATTTTTATTATTTTTTAGTAGGATCGTGGGGCCTGCCATTACAGGAGTGGGGTATAGGGATAACTCTATAGGGAGAGGGTGAATATTTACAACAAATCATGAAGGAATCAAAGTATCAAGTTCCTCATGCCTTGTACACATCCTGCCAACTGAGCTAGAGCTTACTGGCATCCTCCAACATCATTTTATAATGAGAATTCATCCGTTCTTTTATAATTAAAAATCAAAATCTCATTTAGTTTGTCCAACTGATTTTTAATCAAATATATTTTTCTTAAAATAAAAATTAGATCTAACTTATTTTTTTCCAAATAACATTAAACCAGCTTTAAAATCTTTTAAAAAACTCGAGGATTAGTTCCCTGATCGATTTAAAGAATTGAATTTTGTGAATATGCGCGACTCACCTAAAGAGATAATTTGGGTTGGCATAAAAAAAATCTTTTAAAAAACATTATTTGAGTGTATAAACTACGAAATTGCCTAATAACTTTCATATAGATTTCAATGAATTATAATAGAAAAAAGTGTTTGTCGTTTTAAATAACATAACTTATGTCATTTTACTTTCATAAAGAAGTTAGACCCACACCTTTATTTATTTATTTTTTTTGAAAATATTTCAATCGATTCATCGTTTCGCAACTCGTCCCGTCCAGGATTAAGGTTTTAAACCCCTCCCAAAGGTGGTACTGGAGAGTATCGAACACATGCTCTCACCCTCAACTGCTCAGCTCTCATGTGTCAACTGAACTACCACCATTTGGTTTTGTCCATTCTCTCTCCACATGATCTATCTCTTTCTCTTATTTAAAATGACACAAATTTACATGCTTTAGGATGAGACACATTTTTTCCATTATAATAATCACCTAAACTGAAAAAAATAAAGTAAGCGTAAAGAAGATAGATATAATATCCTATCAAATATTCTTATTGGATGTAATTCTATAAATAATTTTATTTTATTTACCAATAACCAAACAATTATAAAAGGTTGTGGCAATAATTTTGTGAAATATGAAAACATACCATGAGCGTGGCCTTAACGTGGTTGATGGTGATTGGCGTCTTGGAATCACTTTCCTCCTTTAAGTTTAACAAAAAGTGTAGTAAATACTTTCTTTCTTTCCCATCCTCCATCTTCACCCGTTCTCGTTGACCAATCATCTTTTCAAATATTCCATCGAACCGTGACAACAACGCATTCATGCGTTTCTCCACTCCTTGCAAATCGAATCGGGCTAATCCGGGAAAGAAGTCCGATAAATTCGGCATCCCGAGAAGATGCGTCAGCTCAGCCACCACTTCCCTGAACTCCGCCCCCAAACTTTCCCTCTCCGCCCCATCCACCGCCCCACCCCATAGCATGTTCGTTATCACATTAAGCACAGTCAGGAACACCTGCTCCCCCACCCTCACCGGAGACCCGACCCGACTGTACAAATACACGACCATTTTAAGGACCTCCTTGCGGCGGAGACCGTACACGGAATCCAGGGTGGTGTTGCTTAGCATCTTGAGCGTACACACTTTTCTCAGCACCCGCCACTCAGGTCCGTATGGGGACCACAATATGTCGGATCCGCCGTAGGTTGCTGCCTTGCCGGCGGCGGACACGTCACGGTTGGCGAAAACGGTGTCTTGGTCTTTGAGAACCTCACGAGCCATGGAAGGTGAACTCAACACGATGCCAAGCTTGCTCCCTAGTTGGACCTTGAAAATCGGGCCATAGGTCCGGGCCAACCCGGCGAAGTAAGTGTGAAGGTCCGGGTCGAGGGATAGAAGGTTCCCGAAGAAGGGGATGCCAGGTGGACCTGGTGGCAGCCTCTGAGTGTTGGGTTTGAGGAAGTACCAAGTAACTGCTGAAATGATTAAGAGAGCAAGAACCAAGGTTGTGCTTATGCAATCCTTTGGGTTCAGGTTCAGGTTTTGAAAGAAAGTTAAGAGTATCATGGTGCTATTATTGTATTGAGATTTCTTATGGGAAAAATAGTTGAAGGGTGTGTCACAAGATGAGGATGATATATATAAGGGGCGTTTGGTACAAGAAAAATTTTTATTTGTCCGGGAATCTTAATTTTCAAAAATATGATTTTTACGTTCAGTTTACAATAATATTCGAAAATTTAAAATTTAGAAAAATTCAGTTTTCCGAGAATCCGGCCAAATGCCGCGTACCAAACGCCCCCTTGGGGAAGAAATTTTAAACAAAGCTATGAAATGCAATGGAAAGCTAGAATCAGACAAACATGACTCTGCACGTAGGAAGGTATCTTTCAGATTTTCACCACATTGATTCTTTCTTGCTGGGGATAATTTGATATTTTTAAGAGATTAATTTAGTGAAAAAAATTAAAGAATTAAGATGATAACAATTTAATTTTAAGTAATAATTTTTTAAATAAAATAAGATGACACCCGAATTGGCATTGTTTAACTGACTATATTATTGCTTGCTTCTTTAGAATTATTTCTTTTGATAAACAAAATGAACTAAGCCCAAGATACAAAAAAGAAAACAATAAAAAAACAGAGCATGCGGTGGTCTGCTGGCAAGGATTAAGAACCTACTACCCAAAAAGATATTAAGTGATTTGGTCTCTATTTCTTTTTCCTTATCTCATCTCTCCTCACATTTTCTTTCTTTCTTTTCTTTTGAGCACATGGGTCGGGATCACTGAATATTAAAAATACATATTTCTAATATCTCACTTCTATCCAAAGGAAGATTAGCATGTCAATCGGTATAAAATTGCACTAATTGAGTAGGTTATTATGGTACCATGTCTAGTATGATAGCAAGGTGAGTTGTTGAACATTAATTAAATGTTGATTTTATAATAAAATATTTAAGATTCTACTAAAAACCTATTTGGCATATTTTTTTTTTTTTAAGTTATAAGTTATTTTCTTCACCAAAAAAAAATGTTATAAGTTATTTTTAAGTTAAAATTAAGAAATACAGCTTAAAAAATAAAATTAAAATCTATTTGGTGATTATGTAAAAGTTGTTCTAAGAGTTTTAAAGTAGAAAAAAATAAAATAATCTGTTATTATGATGAATTATTAAGATAAAGAGTAAAATTGAAATACAAATTTAAAATAAGGATAAATCTTGAAAATAAATATGACAACTTAAAAAGCTAATACATATCTTAAAAAAAAAAAAAACCTTCTCTTAAGAGCTTTAGTTTTTAGCTTTTGCTTTTTTTATTCATTATAACAAAAAATTTATAATAAAAGTTTTTGGATAAAAAGTATCATTGGATAAGCTTTTATGTATAAAGAGAAGGAAAAAAGTACCGTAATAATACAAACGGTATATAAAAAATGGAAAAAATATATGTCATTTTAAAGAGGTAAAATTGTGTCATTTTAAAAGAGAGAAAGAAATAGATAAAGGAAGAGAGAGTTGACAAAAAAAAATAAAAGTGTAGGTCCCACTTCTTTGTAAGAGTGAAATGATATAAGTTATGTCATTTAAAAAGATAAACACTTTTCCCTTAAAAAAATTATTGCATCATGACTCATACATGTATTCAGATTATGTTTGGTTTCATTTTGTATGTCTCGTTTATCACATTTTTGGCTGTAAATGGCTCATCTTCTAGCTATGTAGACAAATAAAAGCATACTCCTCTCCAAACTTTTTGTTTCTTCATAGTAGCTTAAGGTATAAGACTAGAAACTCGGTAACTCATAATTAGTGACGGGTTGGCTAGATTAAGTTAGGCTTTAGTTTAAATGTGTTATTAGGTTTATATAAAATATTTTGAGTATAATTTGACTTGTTAATCTTATAGAGGCTAAATTATAAGCTTGAAATGACCTGTTTCATTAAAAAAAAGGTTTGGCCTAACCTTTTAGACTTACTATAATCTCAATTATAGTAAATCAAATATCCTTACCTAAAATAAAAATAAAAATCAAACATGTATTGCTTAAAATATTAGAATACGAGAATAAATAAAAACAACTCTTGTGACTATTGATTAATTTTTTTCAAAATACTTTGAGGTCAATGAAATATAAAACTAAACCTGTAAATTTGAATATTTAATCTAAAACATCATACATCACTTTAAATAATAAAAACACTATCATATAGTCTAGAAATTTATCCTAAAACATAGGCCGCAAGCTTTGAGAAAAAAAAAAATACTTTTTAAAATAATCTTACGACATAATTGTTGAATATTCAAAGATGCTCTATTTTACTAATTAGGTTATGATGGCCCCCTAATATGAGATTATTTATTGTGGTCGGGGACTACCATTTTTTAAGTGGTCCCTTAGTGTAAATGAAGAGGTAAAATTGAAAAAGAGAAAAAATAGTAAGGGTAAAAAAGAAAGAAAAAATTAATGATGTGAGAGGGAGCACCAGATCATTAGGTGGTCCTGGACCATAATAAATATTTCCCCTAATATGCCCCTAACCTAAATGTAAGTTTTCTTTTCGTTTTTGTCTCCGCTTATATTTTGCAAATTAAGCAGCATTTGAGATGTTTTCGTTATCTCAATGCATTAAACAGAACTGAAATAAATTCTTTTATTCCAAACATTTGATACAGAATACATGCTGGGAATAGGGCAAATAAATTCATTTGTTATGTCTCGTTTATGTCATTTTTGGCTGTACTGGCTCATCTTCTAACTATGCACACAAATAAAAACATATTTCTCTCCCAACTCTTTGGTTCTTTATGGAGCATAAGGGTTTAAAACTAGAACATCAGCAAACGTTTACTAAATGTAAGTTTTCTTTTCGATTTTCTCCCAGCGTAATTTTTGCATGCTAAGCAGAATTGAGCTATTTTGGTTATCTCAATGCATCCAATAGGACTAAGATAAATTCTTTTATGCAAAACATTTGAAATAGAATGATGGGAATATACGATACATAAACTAACTGCAAATCATTGTTGTTTTGGGTATTGAATACAGATTTTCTTGATGAGTACATGAATATTGTACTCAATTCTATTTATAAAGATCTGACTTGGACAATCGTGGGGTAGGGATGGCAACCAGAGGTATTTTCTTTTTGAGAACAATACCAAATTTCTCTGATATATCCAAATTTTCTCCTTGGGGTATTGTCCAATCAAATAAGTGCACAAGGGTGGCAAGAGAATACAAAACCGTCCTCTCAGCCATTGCTATTCCTGCACATATTCTTCTTCCAGACCCAAATGGGAGATAATTGAAGTTACTCCCACTGTAGTCGCACTCGGCATCCAAGAACCTTGTAGGATCAAATTCTAGTGGTTTTTCCCAAATGGAAGGGTTTGTATGAATAGCCCACACATTCACAAACACCCGAGATCCCTTTGGGATTGTGTAGCCTCCTACAGTGGTTGTTTCACTCGGGCAGTGAGGGACTAGAAGTGGAAGTGCAGTGTGCAATCGAAGAGTTTCTTTCATCACAGCATGCAAGTAGGGTAGCTTATGAATGTGAGACTCTTCTACAATGTTATCTTTCCCAACTACAACTTCCAATTCCTCTTGGACTCTCTTCATTACCTCTGGCTTGTGCATCATTTCTGCCATTGCAAACTCAATTGTGTGGGATGATGTGTCAGATCCACCGACAACCATGTCCTGTTTGTGATCATTCAAATTTTCGACAATATTAGTCACAAAAATTTTCGATCTCCTTCTATAATAATAATAATAATAATTTTTCCTTTTAAGGTCCCTAGTCAAGGTTTGGTTAGGTTTCTAAGAAAGAAAAAATTCATTAAAATTCTCAATGTACGAGGAATGAATCAACTCCTCACGGCTTGCACTCATCCTGCCAACTGAGCTAGAGCTCACTGGCGTCATCCAACATCGTTTTACATTGAGATTTGAAGCGTGTTAAGAAACTTGAGATACATCATCTCAAAAGCTAGCTCAAGGGGTGGGAGTGCCCAAGGCCTTATAAAGGCCATATTAGTTGTCCATCTAATCAATGTGGAACTATATATCTCAACAAGCCTTCTCACGCAAGAGCTCTTTAGGCTAGAAGTGTGGAAATTGCACAGGCCCATTTTTGGTTTACCTTTTTGTGCTTTTTTTTTATTTTAATTCCACTTTTTAAAGCGGGGGACGGTGAGGCTCTGTTACCATGTTAAGAACCTTGGGATACACCACCCCAAAAGCTAGCTCAAGGGGTGGGAGTGCCCAAGGCCTTATAAAGGCCATATTAATTGCTCATCCAATCAATGTGGGACTATATATCTCAACAATACGTTAGTTTATAATTAAAAAGCGAAATCATAATTTAGTTTGGTCCGGTTAATTTTGGTCGATCACATTTTTCTTAAAATAAAAAAAGAATAACATTTAAATTTATTTTTTTATTTAACATTAAATTAGCTTTAAAATCTTTACAAAAAAGTTATTCAATTCATATAAACTACAAAATTGCCTAAAAACTTTCATATAGATATCAATAAATTAATTATAATCATCTATAAAGTGGTGTTTGGTTGAGGGGGGTTTTCAAACTTTCCTATGCAAATGAAGGAACGAATCCAGAAATCACTTGTTTGGTTGAACAGATTCAGTCTAAATACCCAGCTATCTTATTTGCATTGCATTTTCAATTTGCTAGTCGAATGATAGGTTCCGTCACTGTTGAGAAAGAATAGTTGGAGGTGGTTTTTATGTGAAAACCGACTAAATCACTGTGTAGACAAATTCTTGGAGACCATTATACCCTCTCAAAAAAGGATATTATCTTCTTGTGTGGTCAGCAGCTGGCGTGAGTAGACCATTGCATTTCTTCTTGCAGACCATTATATGTCGGACTTGAGTGTCACTTGATCTTCAATTTAGAAGTTTAGCTAACTACTCTGCGAGTGAGTTCACACCAGCTGTTCGGTGTTTTGCTTCTGTGAGCATTCTTTATATTTTGAGTTGCATAATTATCTTGAAAACGTGGGCATCTACTTCTTGTTATTGCTTCTGTATGGTCTCGTCAGGTTCAACTTCCAGCTGCGTGGACCGGCCCTCGTGCTCAATCACCACTTTATACGACCTCACTATGAGTGATGATGGGCGTGAACCAAGACGTGCCCGAGCGTTGAACTGAGAAGCAGAAGCAGAGGAGACTTTGGTGATGGGGTGGTGCTTTTGTTTAAAAACAAGGATATTTTCGTAATTGCCACTTATTTCTCCATCTATATTTTACCTCAAACTAAACATAGGCTTTATAAATCTTACCAAATTTGTCCGATAAAATTTTTTCTAACCAAACAAAATTTTTTTTTTATATTTTTCTACCAAATTCACTTTTCAACTATTTCCATATCAATTACATTTCCCTAGTATTCAAAAAAAACCATTGCATTTCTTCTTGCAGACCATTATATGTCGGACTTGAGTGTCACTTGATCTTCAATTTAGAAGTTTAGCTAACTACTCTGCGAGTGAGTGCACACCAGCTGTTCGGTGTTTTGCTTCTGTGAGCATTCTTTATATTTTGAGTTGCATAATTATCTTGAAAACGTGGGCATCTACTTCTTGTTATTGCTTCTGTATGGTCTCGTCAGGTTCAACTTCCAGCTGCGTGGACCGACCCTCGTGCTCAATCACCACTTTATACGACCTCACTATGAGTGATGATGGGCGTGAACCAAGACGTGCCCGAGCGTTGAACTGAGAAGCAGAGGAGACTTTGGTGATGGGGTGGTGCTTTTGTTTAAAAACAAGGATATTTTCGTAATTGCCACTTATTTCTCCATTTATATTTTACCTCAAACTAAACATAGGCTTTATAAATCTTACCAAATTTGTCCGGTAAATTTTTTTCTAACCAAACAATTTTTTTTATATTTTTCTACCAAATTTACTTTTCAACTATTTCCCTATCAATTACATTTCCCTAGTATTAAAAAAAAATTTGTAAGGTGAAGCGTCTCCTATATGTCAAAATCGTAAAAGCTACATAGGTGATTGAAAATAGTTCAGTTTGATTTGATTTAATTATATTTTGAAAGTGAAAATAAAAATACAAATCAAATCAATCAAAATCAAAATTAATTTTTATCTATTTTTTAATTTTCTTCTTTTGGATTCAAATTGACGTTGTTCAATTTTTTATTTTTATATTTTCCTTTTTCAAGCACAACTAACAATGACTTGTAGGTGGTATCAAAATAAACCAAGAACTGCCGGCTCATATAACTCCAAAAAATGTGTAAGCTATAACAAAGTCAAAGCTTAAATATATTATGACATGATTTGACGTGGTATGTAAGTTAAAAAAGAAGTGGAATTTAATCAATTATTAAATCTTTTTAATTTTCTTAAATAAAATTTTAAATAAATATTCATATATGTAATAATTAATTTTAAAATTTTAATATAAATTAGTATAAGTCTTTTTATTAATACAATTTAATACAATATATGACTAGTCAAACTTAATGTAATTTATAAATTTGTAAATAAATTTTGTAATTTTTTTTTGTTAATATAACATTTTTCATATCAAAAAATAGAGAAAAGTTATAGTTACTACTTTTTTTTTTTACTATTTGTTACTATTAAATCTTAACTGTTGATTTTCGTTAATTTAACGATTATAATTTATTAGGTCACATTTATTAATTAATTAATTATTAATTTTGATAAATTATAACCGTTAGATTGACAGAAATCAGCGGTTAAAATTTAGTAGTAACAAATAATAAAAAAAAATAGTAAAAAAAAGAGTAATAACTCTAACTTCTTCCCAAAAAATATCAAAATTACGAACCAATGTATCGCTGCAAATAGTTCACGATCTATGTAAGGGAAATTTCTACAATATTACATATGGATTCAATTTTCTATAAATTCTTCCGATTAAAATCAAATAACAAATAGTAACACTGACATGTAATAGAGAAAAGTCTATTTCAAAAAAGAAAAGAAAAGAAAAGTGAAATCTCAAATAAATAATATATATTACTGATACACCAAAGATCAGCTCCTACGTAAGTTTGGTACAAAACATGATAACAATAGAGATAGATAAATTGGAAAGTAGAATTTCTGAAATGAACATACCATGAGGAGTGACTTAATGTGGGTCATGGTCATTGGTGTCTTGGAATCTCCTTCATCTTTCAAATTTAACAGAAACTGCAGAAAATCCTTGCTTTCTTTCTCCATCTTCACCCGCTGTCGTTGACCAATCATCTTTTCGAATATCCTATCGAACCGCGGGACCAACGCATTCATCTGTTTCTCCACACCTTGCAAATCGAATCGGGCCAACCCGGGAAAGAAATCCGACAAGTTCGGTTTCCCAAGAAGATCCGTCATCTCAGCCACCGCTTCCCTGAACTCCACCCCCAAGCTTTCCCTCTCTGCCCCATCCACCGCGCCACCCCACATCATGTTCGTTATCACATTCAGCATCGTCAGGAACACCTGCTCCCCCACGTTCACCGGAGACCCGATCCGACTGTACAAATACCCGACCGTTTTCCTTACCTCCTTGCGGCGGAGATCGTACACGGAATCCAGGGTGGTGTTGCTTAGCATCTTGAGCACGCACACTTTCCTCAGCATCCTCCATTCGGGTCCGTACGGGGTCCATACTATGTCGGATCCGCCGTAGGTGGCTGCTCTGACGGCGGCGGGCACGTCACGGTTGGCGAAAACGGTGTCGTGGTCTTTGAGAACCTCACGAGCGGTGGAAGGTGAACTCAACACGATGGCAAGCTTGCTCCCGAGTCGGAGCCTGAAAATCGGGCCATGGGTCCTGGCTAACCCGGCGAAGTAAGAGTGAAGGTCCGGGTCGAGGGATAGAAGGTTCCCGAAAAAGGGGATGCCAGGTGGACCTGGTGGCAGCCTCTGAGTATTGGGTTTGAGGAAGTACCAAGTAACCGCTGAAATGACTAAGAAAGTAAGAACCAAGGTTGTACTTATGCAATCCTTAAGGTTTAGGTTCAGATTTTGAAAGAAAGTTAAGAGTATCATGGTGCTATTATTGTATTGAGATTTCTGAAGGGAAAAATAGTTGAAGGGTACATCACAAGATGAGGATGATATATATATAACGGAAGAAAGTTTAAACAGAGCTATGCAGTGCAATGGAAAGCTAGAATCAGACAAACATGACTCTGCACGTAGGAAGGTATCTTTCAGATTTTCACCACATTGATTCTTTCTTGCTGGGGATAGCTTGATATTTTTAAGAGATTAATTTAGTGAAAAAAATTAAAGAATTAAGATGATAATAATTTAATTTTAAGTAATAATTTTTTAAATAAAATAAGATGATACCCGAATTGGCATTGTTTAACTGACAATATTATTGTTTCTTTAGAATTATTTCTTTTAATAAACAAAATGAACTAAGCTCAAGAAACAAAAAAGAAAACAATAAAAAAACAGAGCATGCGGTGGTCTGCTGGCAAGAATTAACGCTCCGATTGTATTAGTTTTTGGGAGAAGAAGTTTTTATGTTTGGCTTATTTTAGAAGTATTTTTAAAAAAGGTAAAATTATTTAAATTTAAAAAAAAAATATTTGATTTTTGATTTCTATTTATTTTAGAAACTAAAATTTTTAACTTAAAAAAAAAAAAAATTTACTTCTCTTTTTTTAAAGTAGATATCCAAATAATAATTTATAATGAAAACTATTTTTTTCTAAAAAAAAATATAGTTTTTGAAGAAAACTTTTTCATTCAAACAGGCTCTAGGAACCCGAGCGAGGGGAAATAAAAGTACATAATTCTTCTATCTCATTTTTATCCAAAGGAAAGCATGCGGTTCATTACAAAATTACACTAATTAAGTAGGTTATTTGTGATCAAATAACATAACCACATGACTACTTTTTCACGTGAGAATATTCACTCTCCATGTCAAGTATCATAGCAATGTGAATTGTAGAACATTAATTCAATGTTAATTTTATAATAAAATATTTGAGATTCTCTAAAAGCCTGTTTGACATATTTATTTTAAGGTAAAAAGTTACTTTTAAGTTAAAGATAAAAAGTAAAGTTAAAAATTATTTGATGATTATTTAAAAGGAAAATATACTTATATGTTGTAGGAAAATATTTTTTTTATTCTACACGTACATCAATTTTCTTATTTTTTTTATAACTGGATAGTCCTACAGATGATTGTCTCTACAGTATATAAGAGATTCTCTCCTATTGCGTGATATTAATAAAGCCCTTATTTAGAGTAGGAAAAATAAAATAATTTGTTATTACGATGATTACTAAGGTAAAGAGTAAAATTGGTAAATATAAATTTAAAATATGGGTACATCTTGAAAATAAATATGAGAACTCTAAAAAAAACTAATATATATATTAAAAAAAATTTCTCGTGAGCTTCTGCTTTTTTTATTTATTATAAGAATTTTTTTTATAATAATATTTTTTGGAAAAACATTTCCACAAAAAATAACACTTCTCAAACACTTACTAAAGACAACCGGCACTAACAAAACATTTGATAACATATCTTGAATACCAATACTAAGAGCCAAGAGGAAAAAAAAAGTACCGTAATAATACAAACTAAGTATATAAAAAATTACTGTATCATGATTCATGCATGTATTCAGATTATGTTTGCCTGTTTGGTTTCATTTTTTATGTCTGGTTTATAACATTTTTGGCTGTAATGGGCTCATCTTCTAGCTATGTAGACAAATAAAAGCATATTTCTCTCCAAACATCCTGTGTCTTTATAGTAGCTTAAGGGTGTAAGACTAGAACCTCGGTAACTCATAATTAGTGATATGAACTGGTTAGGTTAGACTAAGTTAGGCTTTAATTTAAATATGTTAGATATATCAAATATTTTGAGTATAATTTGACTTGTTAATGTTATAGAGGCTAAATTATAAGCTTGAAATGACCTGTTTTGTTAAAAATAAAAGATTTGGCCTGAACTTTTAGACTTACTATAATCTCAATTATAGTAAATCAAATATGTTTTGCCTAAAAAAAAAAACATGTATTGCTTAAAAAATTAGAACCTAAATGTAAGTTTTCTTTTCGTTTTGGTCTCCGCTTATATTTTGCAGATTAAGCAGCATTTGAGCTACTTTCGTTATCTCAATGCATTAAACAGAACTGAAATAAATTATTTTATTCCAGACATTTGAAATAGAATGAATATGCTGGGAATACGGTAAATAAATTCATTTGTGATGTCTCGTTTATGTCATTTTTGGCTGTACTGGCTCATCTTCTAACAATGTAGACAAACAAAAACATATTTCTCTTTCAACTCTTTGGTTCTTTTTTTTTTTTTGGTAAACAACTCTTTGGTTCTTTATAGGAGCTCAATGGATCGAATATAACTAAAATAAATTCTTTTTATACAAAACATTTGAAATAGAATGACTATGACGGGAATAAACGATACATAAACCAACTGCAAATCATTGTTGTTTTTAGTATTGAATACAGATTTTCTTGATGAGTACATGAATATTGTACTCAATTCTATTTATAAAGATCTGAATTGGACAATCGTGGGGTAGGGATGGCAACCAGAGGTATTTTCTTTTTGAGAACAATACCAAATTTCTCTGATATATCCAACTTTTCTCTTTGGGGTATTGTCCAATCAAATAAGTGCACTAGTGTGGCAAGAGAATACAAAACCGTCCTCTCAGCCATTGCTATTCCTGCACATATTCTTCTTCCAGACCCAAAGGGGAAATAATTGAAGTCACTCCCACTATAATCCCATTTAGAATCCAAGAACCTTGTAGGATCAAATTCAAGTGGTCTTTCCCAAATGGAAGGGTCTCTATGAATAGCCCACACGTTCACAAACACCCGAGATCCCTTTGGGATTGTGTAGCCTCCTATAATGGTGGTTTCACTGGGACAGTGAGGGACTAAAAGAGGAAGTGTAGAGTGCAATCGTAGAGTTTCTTTCATCACAGCATGCAAGTAGGGTAGCTTATGAATGTGAGACTCTTCTACAGTGTTATCTTTCCCAACTACAACTTCCAATTCCTCTTGGACTCTCTTCATTACCTCTGGCTTGTGCATCATTTCTGCCATTGCAAACTCAATTGTGTTGGATGATGTGTCAGATCCACCTACAACCATGTCCTGTTTGTGATCATATAAAATTTCGACAGTATTAGTCACAAAATTCTTTGATCTCCTTCTATAATTACTATTATTATTATTTTTTCCTTATAAGGTCGTCAATGTTTGGTTAGGTTTCTAAGGAAAAAAAACTCATTAAAATTCTCAATGTACGAGGAATTAACAAACTCTCAAGGCTTAAACATCCTGCTAACTGAGCTAGAGCTCCCTGGCGTCATCCAACGTCATTTTATATTGAGAATTATGCGTTAGCTCATAATTAAAAAGCGAAATCATAATTTAGTTTGGTCCGATTGATTTTTAGTCAATCACATTTTCTTAAAATAAAAAATTAAGATTTAACTTTTTATTTAACATTAAATTAGCTTAAAAATCTTTACAAAAAAGTTGTCCAATTCATTTAAGCTCCAAAGTTGCCTAAAAGCTTTCATATAGACATTAATAAATTAATTATAATCATGTATAAACGTAAAAAACTTAAAAGCTACAGTGATTGAAAATAGTTCAGTTTGGTTTGATTTAATTATATTTTGAAAATGGAAATAAAAAATCAAATCAATCAAAATTGATTTTTATCTATTTTTTAGTTTTCTTCTTTTGGATATACGAGAGCCGGGTCGCCAGTGAATCACTATATTCATGAGAATCTCACAACTAAGCAAGTCTACTTATTTCTTGGGGTTTGCAATTATGCAAGAGACCTAGTCCCAAAGTTTATTCAAATAACCTCACCTCTCAAGGCTATGTTAAAAAATAATCAATCACAATGGTCTCAAAGTAAATCGCTACAGTAAAAGAACTGAACCAACTTTGTTAGAATCTCCCTCCAGTCAAGATTCCCACTGATGGAAATCGTATTGTACAGATTGACGCTAGTGATAGCTTTTGGGGAGCAATCTTTACAGAGGAAAAAAGACAACAAGAAGCATGTGTGTGCATATGCAAGTGTCAAGTTTCAAGAGGCTGAAAGCCATTATCACTCCACATATAAAGAAATCTTAGCTGTTAAATATCGAATTAAGAAATTTGAATTCCATCGTATCGGTCACAAGTTCATAGTGGTACTGGATAATTCATCCTTCCCAATGATCATGGACTTTAAAAGAAAATTATTTCCTACTCCTCAATTACTCAAACCGAAAGATTGGTTTAGCAGATATGAGTTCACAAAAGAGCATATAAAAGGAGATAAGAATCTGGTCCCTGTCTTACTTTCAAGACCATCGACAATCCACTTCCTCACTCACCAGAAACCAATACCTTTAATAGCCACTATGCAGTCCTTAACTTTGCCCCATCTCTCCCAAACCACTATTACCTTCCTGAAGTTTACCTTCCTGAAGTCGAAGAAGACAAAACCACTAAAGTACTGATGAACTGCTCTAGGAACAAAATCTTTAAATATCTTTCAAAGATAATTAGAGCATATGGCCTAGATAACATCTTATCATATGGCCTCATCCATCCTGAATACCTCTACCATTTCTTCAAACTAAATCCTTCAAAAGCCTTTAGCAATGACATCTGGAAATTCCTGTGGCATATGTGTAACTTATACTATATTGCCATAGAAATCCCAGTCCAATCTATCTACAATAAAATGCTGAAAGAAGATCCTTTTCATGGATACTTCTTTCTTTCCTTTCTTTACCAATTCTGTGGAAAAGAACTATGGCTCTGACATTTGGGAAAATAATATTATTCTAACAAGCTTAACCAAGTGATTGTCTTTTATCTCCATAAAAGTTGGAATTGTGATGATGGATTTCTTCATCCTATCACAATCTATTGTCAAAAAGGTCCCCTCTGTGGTTTCTCTCTTGAACCCTTTAAGCTAGACTGCGGTCCTTTTATGAAAAATATTTAGAAACGTCTTGCAGAACTCAATGGAGTGATCTTTAGAGACCTCTGACCTAAATGGGAAGATGATGCCCCGTGGGAAGTTTTTCCTATTTGGTGCAGAGATCGATTTAAAGCAAATGTAGAAATATATCACGAACATCT